TATTTATTGATTGTTACAGAATGTTGGTATCTGGGTAAACAAGTTCTATTGTAGAATATTTTAATATGTGTTGCATTCCTTCATTTTGCATTTGTTTAACTCTGTGAAGCTGTAGGACGTGGCATATCTCAAATACCAGATTGGTCTAATAAAGAACTGAATGGCCAATAGCAAGGCAGGAGAAAGGGTGGGCAGGGTTGGCAGGCAGAGACAATAAATAGGAGAGAAAAGATGGAAGAGCAAGAAAAGGAGAGAAGGACATTAGCAACCACCCTCCTAGCTACACAGCCAGCCACAGTGTAAGAAGTAAAGTAGAATTAAGTTTTCCAACCAGCCTGCAACAAAATGTTTTGAAATAATTTTGATTCCTAAGTTGCTCCCAGGAATAAAAATACAGCATTAGGTGCCTGAATAAAGGGCTGGAGAGAGGGTTCAACCTGTGCAGAGCACAGATTCTTCTTTCAGGGGACCAAATTTCAATTCTTCAAATCCACACGGTATCTCAAAACTGTCTGAACTGCCATTCCACAGAATGTGACACTATCTTCTGGCTTCTTCAGGACACTGCAAAATGTGGGGCACACATGTGCATGTAGGAAAAATACCCATAAGCATAAATAAAATTTAAGATCTTAAGTATCTTCAGGATTCATGGTGAAAGGACACACATCCCAACTCATTTCAACAACTGCCTGGCCTAGAAGGAATCCTCGGTCAGCCTGTTTCAGTTCCTGGCCTAAATATATATATATTTCTGTGATGTATATTGGGGGCATGTGCTTTTAGGGGCCAAAAGAAAACACTGATGAGTCTCTCCTTATAGCATTTAGGTGACTTTGGGGAACAGAATGCAGGTGACCATATGCGTCATATGCCAACAAACACCACTGCTCACTGAGCCATCTTGTTGGCCCAGCCTATCCAATTCAGCGTACCCTTCTATGTTTGGGTATTCTCGTTGGCCTGAAACTCACAATTAAAACAGGGAGACCTGGAACTCTGAGAAATCTGCCCATCTCTGTCTCCAGAGTGCTGAGATTAAGGGATGTTCTTAAGAATGGTGGGGCTAAACCGGGCGGTGGTGGCGCATGCCTTAAATCCCAGCACTCGGGAGGCAGAGGCAGGCGGATCTTTGTGAGTTCGAGGCCAGCCTGGTCTACAAGAGCTAGTGCCAGGACAGGCACCAAAAAGCTGTTTCGAAAATCAAAAAAAAAAAAAATGGTAGGGCTGTAAGACAAGAATTTACACAACGAACCAACATTCTGGTATTTTTATCAAAAAGTCACTGCCAGTAAAACCTGAACTGTAAGGGTAGTGACAAGATGCTGGTACCCACTGTCTTACTATATTAGAGTCATTATATTATATTATAGCCATTTCAAGATTGAAATCTAGATGATGCAAGAATTAAGAGTTGAGTTTGGAAACGAATTACTACATAGAATTGCCTGGGTCTTGAACAGTGTCAAAAGCAAAGCCAGACTCTGGATAAACTGATTAAGACAGGATTTAAAATACTATTGGCATGAGAAAATAACCCACTGGTACTGAACACTGTCTGAAACTGTAGAGGTGACAGATTAGATGAACTGAGGGCATTAAGGGGATATGAGGGCCCAGTAAAGTCAGTGAACTGAAAATGTGTGTAAAGGTGGCTAAATGATGACGGGTTTGGGATCCTCAAACTTGAAATTCCTACCTAGCTTCCTGATGGCTTGAGAATTCTGATATTGTATGATTCCTAAGACCTACATGGTGGAGAGAGACAACTCCCACAAGCTGTTCTCTGGGATCCACAGAGGGACAATGACATGGACATGCCCCTTTCCATATAAGCTAGTAAACAAATATCATTTTAAAACTAAAATGTATCTAGGTACTAATAAAGGAAGTCATTCATCCTTTTGGACTTGTCAGTGATCATTCCTCAGTTTGCTCCCTAGTGCTAGGAACAAAGGTATGAACCATTCTACACCCATCCCTACCTTTCAGTTCACCTTGTGCTTCAAACTCCCCAGTACTGCTCTACAATTCAGCTTGTGTGTTCCATACTCCCCCACCTCACACTTCCACTTAAGCCTCCAGTGTCCCTACTCCTACCTTACAGTTCAGCTTGTTGATCATCTGTCTCATTCCACAAACCCAATTCCTGAAAGAAATACTCAAAAAAACACAAAGTCTAGCTCATCACGAACATATAGCTATTTTGGTGGCAGTGTTGGGTGGAACACTATTAGAGACCACTGTCTAGGTGTATGTGTTTATACTCTCATAAGTAGGATAAATACTTTTCTTGTAAAATACACTTTAGATATATTTAGAATTCTAATAACCCAAACCTATGGAGCATGACAAAATATTGTATGATGAAATATTTCAATATTAATTTTGAAACTTCCATCATATGTGAGAGCACAAAAGGGCACGGAGCCTGTGTTTTCATGCCATCTGCACCACCTAGGACTTCAACCCATTTATTGATGTATTTATTTACCTGTGAGACAAGAGTCATTTCTATTAAGCTGGCCTCAAACTCCCTCTGTAGTCAATGATAACCAGGATTTTTTAATGGACTTGCAAATTCACTTATAGATGTTGTGTAGCTATTCTTGTGGATATTCATTCCATCTGTACAGGAATCCAAACACCAATCTGGGCTCAAAGTACATAAATGCTCTGGAAGCTCAAAGTAATAGGAGTACTAGCATTTAAATATGTATATAAAGAAAAATGGAACAAGACATATATCCTCTAGACTGATTCAAAGTAGTTTTCCCAATCATAAACAAACAAGGAAGACGAACACGTGCCATTATAGTATGAGCTACATTTTTATACAAGGGGACAGAGTCTCATTATTAGAAGTATATTTCCATATATTCCCCTCCAAAACCTAAATGTTATCCAATGATGATATTAGTTTCCATAGATGCTCTTGAGCAGCTCCTTCCTCTAGATGAGATGGAGGAAACTTCCCAGCGCCGTGCTATACTAACAGCTCACAACCATTACTAGGAGTGGTGATGGTATTATTATTACAGAACCATCTTAATTCTATTCTTTTCTATTTGGTGCAAACAGAACCTACATGGCTCTAATCTATGATACTAAAATAAGAAGTATTAATGATACCTTGCATCTGTGCTCTCTGTGTTGTTCTCAATGTATCTATTCACTTAACTCTGAGACAACAAGAGTTGCATGGAGGGGGTGGAGAATGACGTAGAATAAAAAGAAGGCTAATCTATATTTTCTTACACCTCTCTCAGCTGCACATTGGTGATCAAAATTGTATTACTTTCCCAGCCTTCTGTGGTGGCACTTGCTTATGATGCTAGTATTACAAGGTTAAACCACTGCTGTAGGAAGTCTTACAGCTTGTGGTTACCCGCCTACTGGGGTGTGGCCTCTTAGACTATATATACTGATGCAGAGCCTGCATCCACCCTCTTTTCTGGCTGCTCTTTCTGGTTGCTGGATTTGGTTTCTGTTCTCTAAGTAGAGGATTATGATTTGTGAGTGTACCCCTAAGTAAATAACCTTCTATTTCTCAATTCTGAGCTAGTGTGGGATTTCTTTTAGCATCATTCCACAAACCACCTTGGTCTATGACAATCAAGAATAACAATTAGGATCAGAAAAGAGAAGGTGACCAGAATGACGTGTAAAACATAGAAATTTTGGGATTGACATGTCTTGTATATGCTAATGGCTCATACTTAAGTTCCTTAAGATATATAGCTCTGAAATACTATTTATAGGTGGAGAATGAGAAAATCCCGTTAAAACAATTTAGCAATGTTGGAAAAACAACACAGAATACATCAGACTGAGCTCACAGTGGCCCTGAAGAGACAGGTTTTCTTGACTCCTTCATGATGTTCACTCAAGCACTGGACCAGAACTTCCCAAGTCTGCCCTTGGGCAGGAAACAAAAGTAGTGCTCCATTGGTGCTTTTATCAGGGCATCTGACAAAACTATGAACAGGTTCCCAAAAGTACCAACTTCAATCTACACAAACAAAAACACATGTGAAAATGGCCTTCTACTCTCATCATGTCTGCTCAACAGAGAGGTGGAAATCGTAGCTAGAGAAATAAGACAACAGAAGCAGATCAAGGGGATACAACTGGAAAGGAAGAAACTGAAGTATTTTCATTTGCAGATGATGTGATAGGATATGTAAGAGACCCAAAAAATTCCCAAAATGCCTATGGCTGAAAAACACTCTGAACAAAGTAGTTTAGATACACAGTTAACTTGCAAAATCAGTAACTCTCCTAGAAACAAACGGCAAAGGAACTGAAGCAAGGAAGTAATATCTTTCCTAACTGCCTCAAATTGTATAAAATATCTCTCAGTAACTCTAACTGAGGAAGTGAAAGACTTATATGATAAGATGATGTGGAATGTTCTTCTGTATGTGTTAATGGGCAGAATAGAGCCAGGCTAGAAAACATATATAGAGAGAGTAGGCAGAGTCAAGGAGATGCCATATAGCTGCAGAAGGAGAAGTACACACCAGAACCTTACTGGTAGGCCACAGCATTGGGGTGATGTACAGATTAATAGAAAGGGTTAATTTAAGATGGAAGAGCTAGTTAGAAATAAGCCTGAGACATTGGTTAGTGTTGTAGTTAATATAGTTTCTGTGTGTTATTCGGGTCTGGGTGGCTGGGAAAAAAAAACAAGCAGTCTATGTCTACAAAATGACACCCAGCGTCTGGAGCATAGATCCACATAAGACCTAATGAAAAAGCTTAAGGAAAAAAAGAGGGCTCCTAGGCCCACAAAAAATGGAAGCCAAGTGCAGTTTCTTGGTATCTGCACTTTTGTTTACTGGTGGCTTCCTGACTCGTATTAGTAGTAAAAACTGCAAGGCTTCCTTAAGGAATGGCTTCCCGGTTCAGCACGGATGGCTCTGGTTCTTTTAGGAAGTCATGCACTGGAATGGGGTTTGTAAGCAGCATGCTACTAGTTTCTTAATGGTGACACAAACCTGCTGCGTCCCTGGAGCTGGTGCAGTGAGCATGGCTAGCAGAGGAGATGAACATACCTCCACCATGTTGGATGGGGCGTAGCCAACAGGCGGGGCCATAGAGTTGGTCCAGTCACTCCTGTTTAGCATTAAGGAAAAAAAAAAGCGCTCCTGGTTAAAAAATAATTACAGGTACACAATAAAACAGATTCAGTTGAAAAAGACCACTGAATGAGTCACATAAATAAGTTGGATAAATGTACAGAGGCTTAAGAGAGAGAGAAGAAAGAATACAAACAGTCATAAAGGAGTAAAGATGATAAAATAATATTAAAAAGTAATAGAGTGAAAAAAATAAGTCACATAAAGATGGAAAATAGACAGAGTGTCTGGATTATATATATATATATATATATATATATATATATACATATATATATTATTGTGTTGTCTTTGAATTTTTGACTACAGCAGACATTTGATTCTGAGGTCTGCTAAGCTAAACATCTATATATAATATATATATTATATAGAGAGACTTAGAGCATATATATGTGTATACACACAACCCTCTCACCTGACTAAACTGAGACAACCAGGTCTCTATAGATCAACATGAGAGAGTTACCCAATCGGAAATTTCAGTGGCTCAAGGTAACCTCCCCAAATTGTGCACCCACAGATTTGGTTTTCCTTCATGTACAGGCTATGAGTTAATGAGAACTGGAAAAATAGACAGAAAGGTGCTCACTCTGACCAATCAGATCCTGTTTTAAAACAGAAGCACCTACAGGTCAAAGAACTAAACAACCTCTAATCTAGCTATGGCCTAGCCTAGTTTCCCCTGCAGTGTACACAATAAACCATTCTTTCTATTCCGATCTCAATGGAGAAGCTGTGTTCCACACAAATACCTTTCCTATCACTGCAGTGGACAGCCCACTCTGTGACTCCAATGGGAAGTTTTAGACGTGTATGGTGCTACAAACTTTTAATCAGGAATTGAAGAGGTTGAATCAGGAGGACAGCAAGGTCAAGGCCCTGTGGGCCTCAAGGCAAAGAAAGTCAACAAAACTTGTCTCAAAATAATTTCCCAAAAGCTGGAAGGTGCAGCTGTTCTGGAAATAATGTGTCATTACAATGAGAAATCACGCCACACACTTGGAGAATTAACTGATAAAATCTCTTCAGTAATTTCAAATCTCCCAGTCTGGCTGACACTCTGAGAAGAATAGGTGCGGGACAGATTTGCCAACTTATAGACACCATAGGATTATGTTTTCCACATATGTTGTGAACCTTGAGAGAGGCTGCTTAGCTTGATTTCTTAATGAACTCAGAAACACCTACCCAGGGTCGCCCCACCCACAGTGGGATGGGCCCTATTATATCAACCACTAATCAAGAAAATACCCTATAGGTTTGCCTACAGGCCAGTCTGACTCTAGCTTGTGGCAAGCTGACCAAATCTACCCAGAATCCCTACTGCGTCATCTCCCAAACCCCAAACACAGATTTTTAAGCAAACCTCAGCTCTCCTGACACCGGCTTTTCAGCGTGTACTTGTGCACACACACACAAAGTTTTGGAAATCTGTCAGGTTTACAACTGGAGTAATGGCTCAGCAGGTACCAGCACTGTTGCTCTTGTAGAAGTCCTGGGTTTGGTGCCCAGCACTAACATGGGGCACACAATCACCCCTAGATGCTGCTGCAGGGGATCTGATGCCTCCTTCTGTCTTCTGTGGACACCAAACACACACGAGGTCAACATACATACATGCAAGCAAATCACTCATACACATGAAATAAAATAAAATTAAAAACACATACTCTCATATCTCTTATAAGTCATCATAGATAAAAAAAGTCAGAAATGCAGAGAAATGTGACAAATATCTGTAGCCAAAACTATACCTATGTAATTAAAGAAATCAAGAAACTTGATCAGAGAGAAATTCCATGATTGTAGACAGGAAGCCTAAATATTATTTCAGCACAGAATCTGAGCTATAGATTCAGCAACACTCCAATAAAGTCTAACAAAAGTCTAACAATCTTCCTATCAACAACAGAAAAATGATGGAAAAGTCATCATGGATGAAACACTGGTCAACACAAGACGGAATAATAGCACACAGTGACAGCATCTGACTTTAAACTTCCCGTGAAACTGCAATGAAGATTGTTCTGTCTGGGATAGAATAAACAGCTCAGCGGAACATAAGAGAAAATTTAGAAACAAAGTAACAATGAAAACAGTGTCGATTTGAACACAAGAGGCCAGGAAAGCCAGTAAGTCTGGCCTTACTGACACACATGACTGGTCCACCCTGTCATCTCCGTGCAGATGTGTTAATGGCACAGACTTTATGCCCTGCACAGAATTAACTGCAGTGGGATCCGACACCTCAATGTTCAGTGCCAAGTGCAGAACTTCTAGAAGACGCTAGAGAAACTAGCTCTGTCGCTTAGCAAATCTGCCTTTCAAGGCGATGATGAAAGTGGCGCAGACGCGCACGCTGCATGGTGACGTCACAATAAGGAACTGTCCAAGCACAGTACCCACATCCCCGTGTTCTTTGCAGCCCCAACCTCAATCAGCAGATGAAAGTTATTTAGAGGCCGCAGGACCTGGGTGCTGCAGGGGTAGAATAGATCTCACGGATCTCATGGATCTCACAGATTTCACCCGGCGCCGCGTCCGCCGCCGGTTCCCACAGTCCCGGGACTCCACACCGGCTCCCGCAGCTCCTCCCTGCGTGGGGACGGTGGCCCTCGCTCACCATGGTGGATTCCGAGCTCGCCCCGCTGTCCTCACGGCTCCCGGCAGTGGATCACAGCACAGCACAAAGAACACAGGAGTCTTCCTGAGCCCAGAGCCGGAGAGTGTCTAGCATGACGGGCCGGAAGTGCCCGCCTTCATTCTGCCTGGCAGTCTGCCTGGAGGTCATCATTGGCTAATGTGGCCTGAGTGACAGGATCAGCTCTCTCAGGCACAGAGTGTTGCGAAGGGACACAGCACAGTGGTTCCCAGCCCTGGCTTCCATCCCAGGCACAATACTGTCCCGGACCTGCAGATATTGGCGTTGTAGCAGAACTTGAGCTTGAACTGCAAAATCATCCCTGCATTTTTTCTACACTTAGTAAGCATTTTTCATTCTTGCTCCTGGGTTCGCGGTGTTAGGTCTCAAACCTAGGATAAACGGCTGGAAGTGTCTATTAAACTGACAGGTTCGGCCGGCCTCCCTCTGTCCCTACCTCATACAGGGTATGGCTGCCATGCCCCGCCCCCTACCCTGAACTTCTCCAGGCCAGGGGTTGAGCTACCCTTCCCTATATAACCCAACCATTCGGATAACCCGGGTTTTGTTTTGCTTTGTTTTGTTTTGCTGTTCTTCTTTCAATCTACCCTTTACCTTCCTGACCTCTTGGTCTGTGTCTCCTGTCTCCTCGACCTCCTCTTCTCACATGGCCCAAACTCATGTCCACTCTGACCTCTCCCAGATGTCCCTGTCTCTCTTTACACCCTCCCTTTTATCAACAGCAAACTTTCTCCTCTACCAGACCTAGAAGCAGTCCTTTCCTCTTTTAGTTTAGTTTGTTTGTTTTTATTCAATCTGGTGGCTAAACCTGGGACCAGTCATGTCCTTCCTTTTTATTTTTTATGTTTCCATTCACAGAATCTTTAGCATTAACGAATAGTGGAGTGATTCCCCTGTCTGACAGCTGAGGTGATGCCCAGCACATCCGGGTCAATTTAGACCACCTGATTGACATTCACTAGACAATTTCAATAAGGCTCACCTAGGATTACTTACATTTCTCTCAAATGCACATTGGTACCCAAACGTGAACACTCCCCAGACTTTTTGGTGACAATAGTGTATCATGGGAAGGTCGAGGCAGAACATCAAAACTTTATATCAGCTCAATTTATCACACACACACACACACACACACACACACACAGAGAGAGAGAGAGAGAGAGAGAGAGAGAGAGAGAGAGAGAGAGAATTGGAAACTGAAGAGGAGGTGACCAGGGAAGTATCAGTAGATCGTGCATAAGCTGATGGCTCATGCTAAGATAGTTTATTAAGAAGTACAAATCTGATGCCCCATGTGTAGTGGGAGAGTGGGACAAGCAGCAGAAAGTTAGTTAAGTTATACTGTCAAGTGGAATATGTAGACAGAAATTTCTGTCCTGCCCTGTCCCACAGTCCTTCCCAAATAAACACACAGAGGCTTATATAACTTATCAACTATTTGGCCTATTAGCTCAGGCTTATTATTAACTAGCTTTTACAACTAAATTAACCCGTAATTCTTGTTTATGTTTAGCCACGTGGCTTGGTACCTTTTCTCAGTGAGGCATTCTTATCGTCGTTGCTCTGCATCTGGCGGGTGACTGCGTCTCTGTCACTCCTCTTCACAGCTTTCGCTTAGTCTGTTTGCCCCATCTATACTTCCTGCCTGGCTACTGGCCAGTCAGCATTTTATTAAACCAATGTGAGTGACAAATCTTTACAGTGTACAAAAGCATTATCCTACAGCAGGAATAGAGAATATATCAGACAGATCTCACAATGGGCATCACATTGATAACAACAGCCTCTCAGGCTGAAGTGCATCATGATTCCCTTGACTCCTTCAAGATGTTCGCTCAGGTACTGGAGCAGACCTAGTCAAGTTAGCCCTTGGCAAAAGACAAAAAACGACTGTTCCCTTGGAGTTTTCATCAGGACATCTGAGAAAGCCTTGGGTTGGTAGGCCTGGCTACCAGAAGGCCCATATATCCATTCTAAATAAAAGCATGTGTGAAAATGGAACTGCAGGGACTAATGCATTGAAAGATGGGCTTGGAAAGGCCAGTAGAGGCTGGAGATGAAAAGGACATAGCAGGGAATAAGAAAGTATTAATGATGGATATATATATATATATAGTGTGTGTGTGTATATAGTATATAGTGATTAGATTAGTATTAGTGATAGCAAAAGTTGACTTTAAAAACCATACTTGATATACATTTAGCTACATTTCTTTTAAAAGTAGACAGATTAAAATTGTTAGTTTTCCCATATGAATATCGATCTGGGAATGGTGGTATAGTCCTGGAATCCCACAACATGGAAGGTTGAGGCAGGATCATCACAAGTTGAAGGCCTGGTATGGCTACAGATTGAGTTGACCAAAAACTTTGACAACTTAATCAGACCCTGACTCAAAATAACTTTTTGGTTAAACCTCAGTGGACAGATGTTTCCTCAATATAACTTTATATTTAAATCTCAGTGGACAGATGCTTGCCAAGTATGGGAGAGCTCTAGAATGAGTACACAGTGTTCTCTATCCCCAAAATGAAAACAGAGCAACTATAACCAATATACTGAATGGGTAGGTTAGAAGGGAGGACTGTGGCAGGACCCAGCTAGGTGACTCAATGAGCAAAAGCACTTCCAACCAAGGTTGAGGGCCTGAGGTCGATAACCGAGAGAACATACATCTCCAGCCTGTCCTCTGACCTTCACACATGTGCTGCTGGGGCATGTGTGCCCACACATGTCTAAATGTTCAAAAGAAAGAAAATAAAAATTCACCAAAACTAAAAAATTCAGAAAAATAGCTAGCTATGTGGTACTTCAACAACTGACCAAAATAGAACTCCTTCAGAACACTGTTAGAATAAATGTCTGGACTGGAAAGCCAACCCTCCCCCCAAGCACTTGGTAGCACTATGGCAGCCTGCAGAGTGGAAGTGAGGGGCTGCCACCATCCCTTAGAGAAAGAGAAGTGTGGTACTTAGAACTTTTTCTGGGATCATCCACCTGCTGGGTCAGAATTCAACTCTGACCAGCATCATGGGAGTTGAGGACTCATTTCTGGGGTACTAGCTGGGTTTGCTATGAAACTGACAAACAAAAAAACCCTGCCAGTTTCACAGATGCCCATACATCAGGCAAGCTGTGAAAGATGTGCTATAATTTTCATTTTTGTCAAAAGAAAGTTTGATTAAAAATCTGCAGTCTCTTAATTGTTCTGTATAAAAGGCCCATCAATGTAAATACAGGATTTTAGTCAATTAAACTCTACAGGATCAAAGTATTTTTACTTAATCACTACATATTTACTATAGAGCCTCTTAATATTTTGATGACAAAGATATATATATATATATATATATATATGTACTGTCCACTTGATATATGAGTCTAAAATTTATTTTCTCATTAGTAGAATTTAAGTAAGCCACATTAAAAATAAATATTTTTACATCATGATAATCTTGTAACATTTTCTTTATCAGGGTCTTACTATTTATCTCTGGCTTGTCGGGAACTCATTATGCAGACCTAGCTAGCTTAAAAGTCATACAGGTTAGTTTGCATCTGCTGCAGAGTGCTAAAATTAAAGGCCTGAACCACCATGCCTGCACATTTACTCTTTAAATAAACAGAATGTTGCTGCAACATGCAATTTGACTCTATACTGAACACACTGTAGCAGGGAGATCACTCTGAAATTTAGGCAGTTCTGGGTTTTATGCAAAACCCTATCTCAAAAGAGCAAATGACAAAGCATGTTCAGGGTTTTTCACCCCAGTTTGGGGATCATTAACATCAGTCTTTGTTCTGGACTATGACATGCTGGCTTTTGCCCCCCAAGTCCACAGTCCACTTTTTGACATCCCTGCCTTGAATCTGTGATGGTGTTGAAGGAACAACAAGGAACAGCGGCAATGGTGTGAAGAGTCCCTCTCCAGCTAATTTACCGCTATGCTCCACTTCTTTCTGGAGAGTTTTGTCCTGTGTCCTGCTTCCATCGATGATTGTTGCAAGTCACGCTAACATTGAATGATGGGTTCAGTCTGGTATACCATTATTTCTGGCTAAGGTAATCTAGTTACCTAGGGCTACTCATTTGTGCCTGAACTTGGAAACTAGCAGGTGGAATCCCTTACAAATAGTGATTACTGAAAGTTTGGACAGTCACTGATAGCCCCTGGATAGGCCCAAGGTGCATGTGTTACTATTGTCATAATTTATAAATAGTTGCTACAAAGACAGGAAAAGATGTGATTGGAGGCTAAAGATGACTTTCCCTTCCAAGATAACATGACTAGGGCCAAATATCTTTAAATTCCAGCACACCAAACATCAAAAAATTCCAAAGAATAAGCTTATGATTATTTATACCATCTTATTTGTGAGCATGAAGATAGCCATAATGACCATGACCAATAATTTTATGGTGACTTGCTCTTTTTTTTTTTAAGTGCGTTGAGTGGATATGCTTTGGATGCAATGATTTTATTGTTAGAAAAGCAAAAGTTAAGCAGTACGGTGGTGGCACATGCCTTTAATCCCAGCATTTGGGAGGCAGACAGGCAGATCTCTGTGAGTTAGAAATTAGCCTGGTCTGCAAGAGCTAGTTCTAGGACAAGCTCCATAGCTGAGAAACCCTTTCTCAAAAATACAAAAAAAAAAAAAAAAAAAAAAAAGAGAGAGAGAAGAAAGAAGGAAAAGACAAGTTAAATATACTGACTCGGCCTACATTCTTGATGTGTGTGTGTGTGTGTGTGTGTGTGTGTGTGTCTTCTAGCCTGGCTATATTCTGTTAAGTCATTGACCAAAAGCAGCTTTATTCATTAACCAATAAAAGCAACACATATACAGAAGGACTTCCCACACTATTTCCCCTTTTCTGCTCAAATAAAAAGAAACGTTTTAACTTTAACATAGTAAAATTACATATAGCAAAACAGGTATCAAGCAAGAAATATTTATATCTACTTTATCTTTTATCATAACTGAGGAAAACTATAATTATAACTATCTATTCTTCAACACCATTAAAGACCCCAGAAGGATACAATATTACCTAAATTAACAGGAAGTGCATTGTAAACAAC